TCTCCTCAAATATCCTGGACTCTGTCCAATAATTGAGTTCCGGGTCGCCGGGTGCGGAAAAACGGGCGCTGCGTTTGTGCACTGGACAAATGATCCATGCACTTTATAGAAGCGAATGCTACATATTTCTGAAAGCGGCCTGCTCGACGTAGTCCGGTTCCCGAGCGATATTTTAGTAGCATCGGAGACAGTCCGATCCTAAGGCAGTCGTAATTAACAAAGAAGTTATAAATAAGATTACTGTCGCAAAATACCTGACAGCTTTGTTCTTCGCGTCCTGTTCCTTCTCGTCTGGCTCATCGGCAAGCACATGGAAAAGTACATCCGCATGAGCCTGTTTCAGCAGTGGCAAACCTGCAACAAGCTCCTTGTGTCGCGCTCCAATTATTACTGACATTTTCGACATTTTCTTTTATTGAACTGCCTGGCATATTTCTGCTCAGCATATAGGAGAATCCTAGTAACATCACTAACAGGGGAGTCCTACAATGATAGTCCGAGCCTTTTTGCTAAAACATCTCTTTCGTGAGTTTTATCACTTCAAAAACCTTATAACACCCTCTGAAATCGCGCCCATGCACAAGAAGACACTCTAGATAGCGTCTGCAGTTTTTAGCCCTTCCACCTGATGCATTTCGATTTTCAGCTGAAGAGGATCTTTTTAAGAATGAGGAGCTTACCTAGAGTGTTTGTTGTTGGCTGCAAATTCTTTTCGTCTTTGTCCTTCCTGCAATTCATTTTCAATAAAAGCACCACAACTTTTTAGCGAATCCTAATAAAATTTACGACTTTTGGTAGGCGTAGAATCCCCAGTAATGAAAAAAACAAGTCAGTGAAATAACAGTTAACCAAGTGCCAAATACCACTGCAATGTTGGTTAAAAAAATTTGCAAGCAAAAATTTCGGAACTCGTGGTTTTTGTATGATTTTCTCCCGTAAAGTGCAATTTTCTGTATAGGAATAGATGGCATATGTTTCATGAACATTTAACTCAATCGCACTCCCTGGTTATTATAGTTGCTTGTTATGCAATTGTTAAACTTATAGGTCGCTCGTTTGGG